TGTTTCCTATTTTTGAGAAAACAAATGTTGAAAACAGGTGAAAACAACATTTTGTCGTTTCCAAAAACAGCAGGAAGTTGCCACTTTCTTTTTTCATAGTTGGAAACGAATAGAAAACTGAATGAAAAGTAAACAACTTTTCTCGTTTCGGTTGCCAAATTTATGACATGAAAACAGAAAACAGGAAACGAAAATGGAAGTGAACAGGGAGAGGTTCACCAAAGCGGCTTGAATTTCGATCCTTGCACCTTGAAAGAGTGCAAGGTCGACTAAGCTCTCATTCGAATCTACAAATAAAAAAATAGAGGAAATAAAAAATAAACACGTATGAATAAATAGAATCAGTATACAATCGTATTAAACCAAACATCGAGTTTTACATGGTTAGAACCCCTAGGGTTCACATACCTACGCAACTAAGGAGCTTAGCCAGCCATTGGGAGGGGTTCCTGAGTGGGTGTTCACTGATTGAAACGAAGAACCCAAAATGCCCACAAAAAATGGTACTGACGACTGAGAAAATGGGGCCCATAGCCGCCATTTCTCGTGCCTTTCTCCCTTGGAGGTTGTTCTTGTTCTAAGTTAGGAGGGTTGCTTTGTCGGCAGAGTAACGACCCTTGCTTGGCCTCTCATCTCCTTCTCCAGTTTTCTATCCGTAGAGACCTATTTATAGGCCTTTTATTAGGCTTATTAAGAAGGAAAAATCACAGCTCCAGCCAATCAAAAGCCTCCAAACACATGGCTAGCGAATCATGATGCTCCAGGATGCCTTTATGACGAAGTAGTTGATCTCCACAAAATGGCGCCTGAAGCGCTCTCTTTGAATCTTGGCTCCAACAACTGGATATCGATGTCTCCTACGGCTGCCCAGTGATCCACTAGTTTGCTTTGACCTGAAAAATCACAATACGCTACCAAAAAAGTATAAATTGTATAAGAGCAATTATAGGGGTGCGAAAACACGCTTGAAGCAATCATAGCACAAATCAAAGGTATTATGACGATAATGATAGGAAATGTATGCACTTTTGATCATAATATGAGGTATAGAATCGACATTTCTACGTGTCATTAAGCATAACCAACGACCGGGTGTAGCACATGGTAAGTGAAGTACTACAATTATTTGATCCATGGTCTCTAGATGTAACATTACTTTAACTTAGGTTTGCTACCAAGCCAAACAAGAATAGTGATTAAGACACTAAACTAACTAAGCTACTTTAACAGCTACTCTAGCTAATTATAAGTTGGGAGCTCAATTAGGCATGAATCCCCCAAATCCCTTCATTTGGTCGATGCTGAGTACTACCTTAGATTGATTAACTCGATGCTTCTACTGTAGAGAGTTATAGACTAGCCTGGAGTCCCTATTCGAGTTGCCCAACCCCGACCAAATGCTCTACCCAGAGAGGCGTACCATACAACAAACCTAGATAATTGAAGTGTTCACAACCAACTCCCATAATTGGGAAAAACCCAATAGAAAACTATGGATCAAATCACACTCGTTCAAAGACCCATAATGAAGGTTCAACACATCTCCAGATGAGACTGAAGCTCGAAATACAGAAGAAGAAATGCACGAGGTCACACAATATTGGTGAGTAGCGACATGAGAACGGTTCGCCATCATAAAAAAAAAACTTGAGATATGGCAAAAGAGGGGTAGTTCATTCAGAGAACATGCATATAAAAGACTTGCAGATCGGAGTGTCTCATTGTTATTTGCGGGTTTTAGGAAAATAGATTTAGGAAGAAAAATTGATATAGAAAGAAGACGAATGAAGAATAGATAGATAGATTAGATTAATTCGAGAAAAGAAGATCCTCCCAAATCAATACATAGGTGTTCAAAACTCCTCTTCCGATCCTCAATTCATAATCTTTTTCTCTATTCTTCTGTTGCTTAAAACAGAGAAGACAAAGCTTTTAATCTTAACCAAAAAAACCCCTAAAAATAATTTTCATTAAATTATAGTCTCTTAATTCTAGTTAACCACTAACACCACTAGTTATCAGGTAATTTATGTCATAATCCCACCTCTAACAACTAGGGATGACAATCAAACCCATGACCGCGGGTACCTGTCCATCCCCGACCCAGTCAACACGGGGAATTCCTGCACTGACCGGGTATGGGGCATGTATTGGCTAAAACCCGCAAAATGGTTAATTAGTATGAGAGGGCAATGACGTCAAAAGCTAGATTTAAAGTTTAAAAGACTATGCTTTGACTCTTTGGACCCTCCAAATATTGTAGCTTTTGTTAAGAAAGTGTTTTGCACCAATAGCCTAAGGAAAATCCTTCAAGCCTAGTAAATTCCTTAGAAGTTACCTTTTAAACCACTTTTACGCTTTCGCTGTCCATTTATTAGAAAAATATTGTAGGGGGTATGCAATTAGTCCAGTTCGAACTAGACCAGACCAAACCTTGAGAATTGTAGTCCAAAAGTTGAAAAAAAATTTAGGACCAAGGACTAGAGCAAGATTGCATTCGGTATGGTTCTGTCCAGTCCAAAAATCAATCATGCTCATGTTCCTTCAAGTTTTATTAAATTCATAGAACCAATGACCACAATGCATTATATTTAGTCTGTTTGGTCCAGCCTCGATGTCGGTTTGGTTCAGTGCGGTCTGCTAAAAAACAAATCGTTGCACACTCTACCATATTGATCTGGTTTAGTTTTACTGGCACAAAGAGAAAAAATGACGCATTTTTATTTGCCTTTTAATCGGGTATCCTTTTAGTCATTCTAGGAATTCCTCATCCCTAGTTGATTGCCACTTCTCCTCCATTCTCGTCTTTTCTCTGCCTCCAAAACCAACACAAGCATCCAGATTCCTACCACCTACGTCCTCTCCCATTCTTGCAAATGCCACCCCACCCATATGTGATATGACTACACTGACGTCAAAGCCCGTCTTCTTTGGCCTCCCATTTGCCACCACTTTCACTTAAGGTTGCCTACAACTCTTATAGCTTCATCATTTTTCGATTATTTCCTCTTCTCATACTTTTTCTCTCTCGAAAGCATGAGGAAGTCGGTGAATGGTTGTTTAAAAATCTATTAGTCTAGTATATGTGTGTGAGAGTAATCTTTAATATATGAGATAGGCCACTTATTTGTTTATATTTTGAAAATTAATAGTTCTGATTATAAAATTTCTATAAAATGTATAGCATGTTTAAAAACTTTCGCTTTTACGCTTCGCTTTCGTGCTTCTGCTTTTGCCCATCATTTCGCTTTTACATAGAAGTTAGACTTTGACTGCATTGGGGGCATATATGGTTTTATTAGCTTCCACGGCCAATACACATACCCGCCCAGCCAAGAGAATTTCTTCACTTATAATAAATATATAGATCAAATTGTAACCTATCAATGATATTGAGGGTAAATCAGAAAAATAAATGGTAGAAGTCCAATTGAGTGGCCACCCAAATCAAAAGCTAATTTCTTTCTCTCAACTCTCCCTTCACTCTTCACTGTTTCCCTTGCGTTAACATGATTATGCTAGTTAGTTATTACTTAGTAGATATATAAGAGCGTGAATAATAATTTGGATTATATTATACTCTATCTTATGGATTAATGGATGTTTTGGGATAAGATATTTTGAATCGTATTAAGAATGAACGTCTCTTTGTCGACTTCATGATATAATAGGTGCGTTTAGTGTTATAATTGAAAATTTACATGTAAAATTTTAGGTATTATAATGTTGGATGTACAAGGCGGGTATTACCCATGGGTACCCGAAAACCAATGGTACAGAGATATGTTTGCAAAACCTTACCCTGCTTGAATATGAAACAAGTATATGGGTTTGGATATTTGAAAACGGGATGTAATATTTTGGACAAACCTGCCCAAACCCTCCCCGGGGCCATTACCATCCCTACTAATAGGTAAAAATATCCGTAACCGTGGTTATCCGCCTGAATCCGACCTAATTGGGCAGGGTAAAACCCAAACCCGAAGGACTTTTAGTGGGTATAGGTAAAACCCGAACCCGAATATTGCAGGTAATATGTGGGCATGATTTTCTTACTATCCGACCCGAACCCGCCCGATTATACACATGCATATGTATTTTGTCTAGAAATTGTCATTATTTTTCTCTACATATTTTATATTTACCATATAAATATAATATTTTCATTATATTGTGTTGTTTTAATTAAGTTCCTTCATTCTAGTTAATTATTGTCGTAGTTTTTCTCTTATGTAATGTGAGAATACGTGTGGATGTTAACATATAGGTTGTAGTTATCAAGAGAAACTATTATCCTTGGATAACCGTGGTCCGTGGATACCCGAAATCCGAACGAGTTTGATTTTGATTTTCTACCCATTTGTTATATGAGTATGAGTAAAACCCGAACTAAATTGGACAGAATAATGAATATGCACTATCCGCACCTGACCCGACCCATTACCATCCCTACTACTAAGGACTAACAACCCATAATAACTAATAAAAATAAAAAATAAATGCGCGTTACACTTCATCGGCAGCGGCGATCTTGTGCCGTGTCGAGTGGCGGCTAGCTAGGTTTCGGTTTCCTTAGTTCTCTTTTGTTCTCTTCGACGAAGCTAATGGCAGGGATCCGAGAAGAGGAAAACTAACTTAACCTCATCCGGACTCATTCATCCTCGCCGACCGAAAAGCAAACCTAATTCATATTCCCAACCAAAACCAAACTACAAATAACCGGACAACACGACTCTGTCGATCGACAGTGTTCAGAATTTCACCAACTCTCTCTGAGGCAGCTATATTCCGTCGTTTGGAATCACCGCAAGAGACACACCGAGAGCAGAGCTATTTATAGTTTTTCCAACACACATATCGAGTTCATCAAACCCAACGCATATCTAAAAAAAATAACATCGTAAGTTTTTAAGTTTTAAAGCACGATTTTATATATGGAGAAAAGTAGCCGCCGTACGACTGTGTCATCGGCTGCGTGGCTGTTGTTGTTATTATTATCGATGTCAATTCTGTGTCGGGTTGCTGTCGCCGGCGACGACGCGTCAGCTTCCTACTGCAGCGACGACAAGTATTTCAAGGGCGACCACGATCTGAAGGCGAGCATCAAGGCGGTGCTGGGCGGGTTGCTCGAGAAAACGACGGCTTCGGCGGACTCCGACATCGAGTCCAAAATGCAACATCCGGCCGACAATCCGCGGGTCTACGGCGCCGCCTTCTGCGAGAAGTCTCCGGCAGAGTCTTGCGCGCACTGTCTCAGGGTGGCCAAAAAACAGCTGCTTCGTGGGTGCGACCACACCGCCGGTGCCGAATTCTACTCCGAGCTCTGTTACTTGAGATTCGAGATCTACAACTTCCTCAATTAAATTTTCGATTCAAAGTTTAAGGAGGGGGAGGTTTTCTACTGCATAATCTCTGATTATGCAGTACTACACAACCAATTGTGTATTATCATTTACAAGATTTTATAGATTTATATAAATCATGGCTTTGCATTTTTTTTTTGGTCGAACGCTTTGTATCTTGTTGCGATGGCAACGGGTCGGAGCGGAGCGGGGCGGGACTGATATATCCATTATCCTATCTAAATTATTTTGGATTTTATCTATATCCATACCCATGTAACGATCGGGTAGAAAATCAAAATCATGCCCATACCGTGTTTGGGCATCCACGATTATCCACGAGTAATAATTTCTCTTTATAACTCCAAACAATATGTTAACATTCACACGTATACTCACATTACATAAGAGGAAAAGTACGACAATAAATCACTAGAATGAAGAAAATTAATTAAACAATACAATTTTATGAAAATAGTACGCTCTAGTTGATTTTGTTTTGCAGGACTCAAACTCGAGGAATCTATAACAAATCATCCAAGGACGTGATACCAAAAAGATGAAAGAAATATTGGCAAGTCCTCTGGGCTAAAAGCATCAAAGCGCGAGGCAAGAAGCATGAAGGAAGAATAAATAAAAAGAAGCATCAAGCAAGCGCCAAACATAAGAAATCATGGAGGGGAGCCATTGAGGCCACTCATGATAGAGAATGATGAAGATATCAACACCTTAGAAGCAACCTTAAAGAGATGGAGCTAAGAGTATGAAGCTGCTATGATGAAATCAAAGATAAAGTTAGAACCTCCCAGGATTAGGGCCGACTATTTGGTGCGGGCTATTTGGTTTTACCCGAAACCGGACCGTATAACTCAGATCGGATCGGAACCAGGATAACAAACAATCAAATCCTAATCTTTGCGCTTAGATTTGAGGTAAAAAACCGTTTGGGACCGGATAAAAAATGGATAAAGACCAGATAAGAGAGCCCAACACTCAAAACTTAACCAACTCCTCATCTTTGAGTCATCAGGCCACTCAAATCCCCACAAGTTCAATCTAAAATCAAGACCGAAATGGGACCGGACTAAGTCAAGACCGGACCGTATCCAATCCAATCTTTGGTCATTATATCCCCGAAAAGACCGGACTGGGACCAGATCAATTCAGGGCCAATTTAACCGGGCCGGACCGTATAGCCACCCCTATCCAGGAGCATCAATGCTAGAACCAAATATGAAGTGTCAAAGCAACTGCTAGAAGATGTTCAAATCATTAAGGAGCATCCCAAATCAGATATAGGAATTTCCAATGAGATGCGTGAAGGTTCTGGCAAGATTCAGGAGTGCGAAGGACTTATGGAACATAGAGAGTTCGTGGACCATTGAGAAAAGGAAGATAATCTCAACGCCAACCCATATGATGAGGAATAAAATGGAGAGATCGTGAACCATGGAGAGGAGGACCATCATGAGGTTAATTAAGAAGAAGAGTTTATAACTCAATCTTTGGAAGAAGACGAAGAAGGCAAGAGACCCCTCAATAAGATGCAATACATACATGAAGTTCATAACCTTTTATGGGGTTGAGTTACTTTACTATATGTGCCTAGTCTGGGCTTTGTCTCAGCTTTTGTTTTGGAGGAGAAAGGTTTCGACTTTTGGAGAAGTGATGAACTGTTTTCAACTATTGGGCTGGGTGACTTTTCTTGTCAGGACTCAGCATGACTGGTTCCATGATTTTTATTTTTATAGTAAGAATCATGGATATTGTCCATGCCGTATAAGTATTAAAGAGTTGTCTGTTGCGTGGCGTAAAAGACTCTCTTATCAATGGTTCGATTAATTGTCGACCGTCGTTCCTTTCCTTTTTTGTATTATTATGGTTGCCTGGAAATACTTTCAATTAGTATATACTTGTTCCCTTATGTGAATATCTTTGACAAAAAAAAAAGACGAGTTAAAACCCCTAATAGTAGCAATGAAGGAAGAAGGTTATAGTATTTAAGATATTACACTAATCCCAATTTTCTTGGATTCTTGGGAAAGGGAATCCTCTACATGTCTGATTGGTGAATATGTCTTTTACGCCACGCAACAGGCAGCTCTCCCTTAGTAGAGCATTTTAGATTATCTGGGTGTGTTGCACATTAGATAATAAATAGCGCCTGTTTTGCATTAGGGGTCTAGTGGGGTGTGGGCATCTCCACCATAAGCTCCTGTGCTCCCTTGATCCCTTCACTCCCTCTGTCCCCAATCTCTCTCTCACATAACTAATCTCTTTTCGGATCTTCCTGCGAAGACCGAGTGGCGGCTAGGTAAGTTGTTACCCTTTTCTAATATGCGACGCAGTTGTCAAGCAGGACCAGGAGGTTGGCCAAGCTGGCTTCTTCCTTTGGTGTTTCGCCTTAATTTCCCCTCTGTCACCCCCGTTTCTTCCCTCTCGATTCCCGTCGTAGAACTGCTTGGTGGCTGGGTAAGATGGAGGGACTTGGTTGATTTACCGCCGCCGACTCTGTCCCGTCTAGAGGAGCTTCGGCCGCCAACGCCGTCCCGTCTGAAACTGGTGATCAGGACCTAGTTGCTATTACTTTGCTGATTGACAATTTGGCATATGCAGGAATCAAGTAGTTATTAAATAATCATCAGATAGGATGAGTGAGCTTGAGGTACGTGTTGAATTCTATATACTGATACATGTTACTTTTTGTCAGTTTCTATGTCCTAATCCGATGTCGTCTGTCTTCTCAATCGGCCTGGTCTGTCATGATTTACAAGGATCAAAAGTTTGTTTTGATATCTCTATTTTCATCTAAAGTTTGTCCCATCTCTTTATAAAGTTAAGGTACGTATATACTCTTTGAGAGATGATTATAAGGGGAATTGTTAACACAGGAGATATTGCACGCACTTCCACATAGAATTCAACTATGGAACCACAAGTGAGTTCCCATGGAAGGTAACAGATAACTTGGTTCACTTCTCTCTCTTTTGAAACCTTAACTTCTGTTGTGTCAACTGCTTTTCCTGTTTCACAGATCTATGTCACTAATTAATGGGTGTTGCATCCACTAATTCTTTGATGTTCAATTGTACAAGGAGATTAATGTGATACTTCCTTTGGCTTCAAAGCTACACAGCACTTGGATAGCAATTATTTGGTGCCTTCCACCTGACAGCTAGCTAACCCACCTCTGTATAAATTACAAATGGTTTTGTTCTTATGATATCCTATAAATTACCATGTTTGGCGCATAGATGGGTTTGGATTGGATTGGAAGACTTCAATTTAAGAGCATTTTGTGGCCTACTTGCTGTGGACATACACGCATGTCAGCTCCACTTCATTTAGTGAGATCGTGGTATATTACGGTTCTACTTTATTTTCTAAATCTTAACAATAACTCTAGCTACTTCCTTGATTCTCAGTGATTTTATTGCATTATAGTTGAATTGCTTTAGATTTCTTCAATTGGCACAATTTTATTTTAACTGATGTATCTTTGAGTCTTCTTTTGCCTTAAGTTTTTTGGGACCTCCTACGGTAACTTGGGTATAATTTCAAGTTAGGTAACTTGTATAGATCTAAACCGTTAAAATCTATCAAACTTAATTTAAACCATTGATTAAAGAAATAAAAAATAAAAAAATAAGTAAGAAAATAAAAGGCAACAGGGGTTGCCGGTCACCACTACACAACTTACCATTCTTATTTTTTTTTTCGTTTCCATTTCAAATTTAGTTGTTTTCCATATTTTATTATTTCCTTTTTTAATTCTTATTGAATTAGAAGTGTTACGTAAGGCTTCCGTAATAACTTAAATCTTTACGTAACATGACGTTAATGCTCATTACGTAAAGAGACCTTCCATTACGTAAGGCTGTCGTAAAGATATTTTACAACTGTTACGTAAAATGCACATTCACTACGTAAAGGTTACGGAATGATAGTTATTTCTTACGTAACAGTTAAATCGGAAGCGTTACGTAAGGCTTCCGTAATGACCTAGCACTTTACGTAACGCAAAGTTAATACTCATTACGTAAAAAGACCTTCCATTACGTAAAGGTTACGTTACGACAGTTATTTCTTACGTAACAGTTAAATCAGTAGCGTTACGTAAGGCTTCCGTAATGACTTAGCATTTTACGTAACGCGAGGTTAATACTCATTACGTAAAGACACATTCTATTACGTTAGGCTTCCGTAATGATCTTTTACAACTGTTACGTAAGATTATCATATATTACGTAACCATTACGTAATGCCTATTGTATTTTACGTAATATGACCTGTGAAACCTACTATAGCAGGTAAAAAAATTCAAGTTACCTTACTTCAAGTTATGGTAGGAAATCCCAAGTTGTTAATATTTACACAGAACTAAAAATTTGGAAAAGCCTCCAATCAATCAATGAAGTTGCTGGTTTGTGCCTAACCAGTACCAATTAGAATACTTAATTAAGTCTTCGAGATCATTATGAATGAGAAACATGGATTTTATAACTCTTGGATGGCTTTAGCATACCAGTTCTTAATTTCATGTATTTGTGTGTTTGATCTTGAACTGATGGTGGTTACGATTTACCTCCCTCAGCCATATATTCCACAGGAAAATGCTTCAAATAAAGAGTACAAGTTTCAAAGTGTGATCTTCTTACAACTTAGAATGAAACGAGGCACAATTTGGAGCTGATGGATGCTGGAAGTAAAAGCAAATGTGCATTATGTCATTCATCCTTATCATAATTATCATTTCTGTAGAAATCTTTTGATCTCAAGGATGAAGGATGTGATGGTATATGTAAAAATTTGACATTATATTCTCTTCGCTTTGAAAAGGAAAGATAACTTTTTAAGTGGTTAAGATAATTTCATCAAGGAAGGATCTACTTCTCATGGTAAACCATTCTCTTTTTTAATTTACTTTAAATGGACCTTTACTTTTGCCTTGGGGTTAAAACTTAAATTTGTTCTTCACAATTGTGTTGGTGTCCTGTAAATGCTCATAATTTCCAGCTACTCACTCTAACCTTCTCCCAGTTATTTGTATGGGACATAAAAAATTAAACTTAGGTACGAGGCATTCATTCATTCAATCCATTTGTCTAATTAATCCAACTATTTAGTCCATAATTATTGTAGTTTCTCAAAGATGAATGAACTTACAATTAATGTTCATTTTATTTATAAGGACATTCACCACAAACTACGACATAATTTTTCTGAAAGCTAACTTATTGATACAATCGTTTTGATGACAATTTGTTGCAGAGCGCAAATCAATTATCTTGAAATAACATAACTCAAATTATAATAACCGCGGCAGAGCGCGGGCCATTTATCTAGTGTCCATGTATTATACGAACAGAGAAGAAAACTTAATGAGAAGAGTTTACCATGCAATTTTTTTTTTTTTTTTGTCTTGGAAAACCAATTTAGTCAAAGGCCTATAAATTGTAAATCCTAATACAAAGACGGTATAATTAGTAGGGATATTTATTTGCATAAGAAATCTGGCTGGTCATGGAACTCAGAAGTACAACTAATGCTACGATGAAATTTGGATATCATGTCATTAGCACAATTTATAGCAGAGAAACAGGTACAGCAGCTATAGCCACTTGTCGATCGTGCTGAACATCACTTCTTCTATCTAGTTCCAGCCAGTAATATGAACTCGCTCCTCGCCGTTCACCCGATCGACTCCATCGTCGGATACCTCGAAGTCGATGACGTAGACATTGCCCTCGTCGTCTTGCTTGAAGGCCAAGAAAGCGAGGCGCCGGTCTTGGAACGCCGCTCTGCACCAGAAGAGAGTCCCGCCAAACAAGTTCTTGCCGAAAGTGAAGCTGTAGGTAGCTCCTGCGCCGACGGCACGAGCGCCAAGATCATGTTGCTTGGACCTGCAGTGAACTATCACTGCCATTTCGCTGCTCAGCTTGTTGGTCACATGTACCGTCGCGTCGTAGTATCCTGCCGTAACAACGACACGGTCTTCCATCACAGCTGCAGCGTGCAGCTGCAGAACGAACGCCGCAGTTAGGATCGCTTTGTGGATCCTCTCCTGCAGCTGCTTCCTTGTCATCAGTATTTGTAGTAGTAGACTAGTAGTATTATTTTTTTCTTCTTCTCTCGAGCTTGTAATGACGATCAATGGTGGTGGTGTAATGATCGGTAATCCTTTTCATGCGCGCACATATATATGACAAAATCTAGCGTAGTACGCTGTACGCTTGTGTTCACACTTGATTTTTTTGTACTTTAATATATTCTGTTGAATTTGAACCCTAGGTTATTATTTTCTTAGATTAAATGAATCTTGTGGCTTGGGTTGGAGAATTAGGGACTGGGTTTCACCGATTAGAGGTTAGGGTATAGTATCATGCCCCAAACTCCGGTTAATTCGTGCGCTAAATAGTAAAACTCGACGGCCGTACAATGTATGCCTGACGTACAATATATATATCAAACTAGTATACACCTGGAGTATACTATACTCCAGGTAGTCCTGGTGAGATCTCTCTAACTAGACCATGAATTAAATCGAGTTTGAGGTATGATACTATATCATAATTTCTAATGGACCCAGACCCCGATTCTCTAAATTCAAACCCGAAGTTCAATTTAATGAAAAATATTAATGGACCATTGAGATTGGCCAAAGCTAAAACAAAGAGATCTGAAAGTCATATCACATGGAATATAGTATATTCTATAGTATAGTCGTCGTATATATATATTTGATAAGGTGAGTGATATAATGAAGGTGGTATAATGGACTCTCACACTTTTGCTCCTGGAGACGTACGGCTCTTACCGTTGAAAAAATGCAACCGGACAAGCACAAACCCTAGTTCTGCCTTAGTTGTACGTGCCACGTCATGACGGCATGATCGACCACTCCACCAACTAGTGATGGATGGAGCTGCCAGTTATTCAGTAGGTTTTTTTTAAAAAAGATAATTATATATTGAATCAAAAAATAGATAATTACATTTTGAAATTCAGCCAGATCTGGAAGTTAAAGAAACGACTCGTAGTCGGCAACAATAAAAAGTCCTTTCTAGCCATCATATGAGCTATCTTATTACTACGACGACCTACAAATCGAACACTAAAACCAGAATGGATGACAAAATAATGCACGACTTTTGTCATAAACCAGTTGGTCCCAATAACTCGAATTGTTGGGAGAAGGTTCTGCTGGATCTTATACCACTCTCTAACACGACCCCTCAAACGAAAGCCAACCCATGAGCTTGAAGTTTGCACAGGCCCACCATACCATGTGGTCAGGGGCGTAGTTACTCAGAGAGTAGGGTGGGCCCAGGCCCACCTGGGAATAGTCTCAGCCCCTAGAATCGTAAGAATAATTAGATAAAAAAAATCTACTGGTTTGGTCCAAATTTTTTATTTTTATAACCGCCCCTTAGCCCCGCGGTTTGCATAGAAAATCGCGCCCCCGACAAGCGGTTTTCGTGTAAACCGCATGGTGGGGTGGTGGTTTTTGAAAAAGGTGGTATTTTTGGAATTTTTTGGGGTTGGATGGTATTTTTGGAATTCTTTTTTTAAACAGTGGTATTTCTGGAAAAAGTCCAAGAAAGATAGCTATATTTTTTACTCCATATGCTATTTTGAGAGATTTCAATGATCTCAAAGAACGTTGTAGACTTTTAAAATAATTTTATTTTTATTTATCTATTTTCGGCCCACCCGGTCTCGAAATCCTGGCTCCGCCCCTGCATGTGGTTTAATCAATAGTTAATATTGGGGGTCGTAGAGATTCGAACACACGAACACTTGGTCAAAGCAGCTCTGATACCATGTCATAAACCAGTTGGTCCCAATAACTCGAGTTGTTGGAAGAAGGTTCTGCTGGATCTTATACCACTCTCTAACACGCCCCCTCAAACGAAAGCCAACCCATGGGCTTGAAGTTTGCACATGCCCACCATACCATGTGGTTTAATCAACAGTTAATATTGGGGGTCGTGGATGGCAAAAAAAATATTGGGGGTCGTGGAGATTCGAACACCACCACTTGATCAAACCAACTCTGATACCATGTCATAAACTAGTTAGTCCCAATAACTCGAGTTGTTTGGAGAGGTTCAATCATGGATCATATACCACAACACTAACCACTTTAATGTTATAATGTGTTTATTTACATATTGAGAAAATATTAAAAAGCGATAGGATGAGGATTAATAGACACCACCGATATTGTAATTTGTTATTTTCATCTCCTTTTGACTCACACCCAACTAATAACAACCTAATAAGAAGAATGTGTCGCTAAAATACTACTTTGGTCTGAACTTTATCAAACTCCTATATTGTATGAACTTTCAAATAATTAAATGTTTTTTTTTTTTACTTGACCTTTCCGTTAACCATAAACTTTGACCATCAACATGTCCTCTCAACATTGAAGTAGCAAAATAGAGACGACCAATCTCGAACACAAAAAAAAAAAAAAAAACATGGCAAAGTCGAATATCTTTCTGTCATAATATGGAAGTTGCGATTGTTAAATAGATGTATTGTTGAGAATGCATGTATAATATTATACATGTATTGTCGAATTTGATGCATTGTAGAATACAACGTTTGGTATGTGTGATTGTGTATGTCGCATCAGTTAAAAGCTGAGGCAAAACAATCTCAACTCAACTATCTCAACAATCACAACTAAAAGTTGAGATATAACAATCACTCAAAATGAGTGATAGTTTCTGTCACATCACAAAAACAATCCATGTATTATTTCTGCTAAAAAAACAAAAAAACGATGCATTATAAACAATACATGTATAATGACAATCTCAACAAAACTATCGCAACTTCCAAACGACCCCTGAGTTGCAAAAGCATGGTTGCCAATAAGGGGACCGGTTACTATAACAACACCCCTTGTGTTGTTATTGTAACAACACTAGTCTCCAACCAATAGGAAGCTAGGGTTGTGATGACTTTTTATTAGATGAGTTGACCTAGTGTAAAATCAAAGCAGGGGTATAATTGTCATTATGAAAAATCTATTTAAATAAAAAAAAAAAAAAAATTTATTTTCTGCCCAAAATTTTGGTCGTCGGAGTTCTGCCACCGGTCGCCGGAAAATGGTCGCCGGTCACCGGAATATGCTTTTTTGTCGCCGGAATATGCTTTTTGTCATCGGAATATGCTTACCGGCGTCGGAATATGCTCACCGTGGTCGGAATATGCTTATCGGCGTCGGAATCTAGTCATCGGGGCCGGAATATGCTTATCGGCGCCGGAATCTACTCACTGACGGTCATCGGAGTTTGGTCAACGGGTTTCGTTGACCGGTCAATGGTCAACGACCATCGGATGTTATGGTCTGCATTGTGAGATTTATGGTTTGGTTTCTCATATTTTTGTATGTCTTTTGTGGTTTGCTTTATCGTGTTTGTGGTTTGCATTAAGAAGTTTCTAGTTTGCTTTATCGTGTTTGTGGTTTGCATTGAGAAGTTTCTGGTTTGCTTTCTAAAACTTTGTGGTTTGCATTGTGAGGTTTCTGGTTTGTTTTAATATATTTTTGGTTTGCATTAGGACGTTTATGGTTTGCTTTTTTGTGGTTTGATTTACTGTGTTTGTGGTTTGCATTATGAGGTTTCTGGTGTGTTTTCGCAAATGTTGTGGTTTGTATTGTGGGGTTTCTGGTTTGTTTTAGGGGATTTGTGGTCTGAATTAGAAGGTTTATAGTTTGCATTAAGAAGTTTCTGGTGTGCTTTCGAAACTTTTGTGGTTTGCTTGCAAGGTTTCTGGTTTGTTTTAATATATTTGTGGTTTGCCTTGCGAGGTTTCTGGGTTGTTTTAATAGATTTTTTGTTTGCATTAGGACGTTTCTGGTTTGTTATTGTGGTTTGCTTTATCGTTTGTGGTTTGCTTTATTGAATTTCTGGTGTGCTTTTGAAACTTTGTGGTTTGCTTTGCGAGGTTTCTGGTTTGTTTTAATATATTTATGGTCTGCATTAGAACGTTTTTGGTTTGCTTTACTGCGTTTTAATGATGCAATTAACAACGTAATTAGCTTAGGCCATCCAGCAATTGGTTACCAACTAGCATTGCAATTGGTTACCAACTAGCATTTGCATAGGTATTTTCAGAAACTGAGGCACGGTTGCAACTGCGTCCTCCGATCCATCTCTGGTCTTCTTCCACAAACAGATGTAAAACCCCAGAGGGGCACATAGTCCAACTCAAAGACACTACGAGCAATGGCTGCTCCACGAGCCTCTTTCTTCAGCGCCAACTGAACAACAACAGGAGGAATAGTCTTTGTGTCTGAACAGGATGTAGTATTAACTTCTTCTGCGTGGCTCGCTGCATCAGCTAGGGAATTTTGAGAGACAATACTTGACTCATCCAGATCTGTGGCTGTGTAGCTAATATCAACACCACAGATGCTCTGGTCAACAACCACTAGCGAACTACTACTTGTTCCAAACTCGGAGTTGGCCTCAAAAATCAAGAATTCTTCCCCAAATAAGCTACTAGTCTCACTAGCTACCGAAAGGGAACATGAACTAACAAGCTCAAGATTCTGATCACCTTCTAATGACAAAGAATCATCCTCCTCGCCTTCACTGTCGAGATCCTCCGCACCGGCCCGCAGGAGCTCCTCAACCTCTACTACACCTCCCTCCACCGCCGCCTCGACCTCGTCGTCGTTCTCTCCTCCTCTTTCCTCATCACCTCCGTCGCCACCGTCTACTTCATATCCAAGCCTCGCACCGTCTACCTCGTCGACTACGCCTGCTACAAGCCCCCAGTCACCTGCCGCGTCCCCTTCTCCACCTTCATGGAGCACTCCCGCCTCATCATGAGAGACAACCCCAAATCCGTCGAGTTCCAGATGCCGATCCTCGAGCGCTCCGGCCTCGGAGAAGAAACCTGCCT